ACTTAGATTAAGTTCCTGAACAGCATCCTAGTCATCCGCATCATAGAGCCGGGCAAGGGCACGAAGGCAATGGCTGTGTGTGGCCCTTGCCCGCTTGTCGATAAGACTGTTACCCAGCTTCAGCAACAACATTTTTTTACGGTGGCACTACAGCAGCTGGGACGACTCCTGTGGTCTTCGTTGGCGCCACTGCTATGATTTCTGACAAGTTGCAGGATCCTTACCCACGGTCTTGGCAAATAGGTACCAAGCATTTTCTTTAGAGGCCCATGGCCGGCCATCATTCGGAGAAGACGGGTTCATCAACAATGTGATGAAGTGTTATTGCCGCGCTTTCTCAGAGCGTTGGGATGCAGGAGATGTTTGTGCGGATGATTTGGCCGAGGATGCTTGGTTTTTGCAGATGTGCTTGCATGTGCAACAGTCTAGGTTTTGCTGATACACGTTGCCCAGAAAAAAAACAGCCACTTTGAAGAAGAGTGCAGGTCAGATCTGCCGGTATGTCGATAGCAAGCGTGATGTGCACCCAGGGGTCGACCAAGCTATTATGGCATCTCTACCGCCTACCAGCATACATGACTCATAGACTGAGGATCAAGTCTTGCTGCTTGTCTGCAGAACAGCCCTTGAGCTACTGAGGTCTACTGGGGGTGCTTTTTTGGGGTCCAGTTTTGGGTCCCCATAGTAGGGGTTAGGGTATATTGGCATCTATGTTGGGGTCCCCTTATGTATTCATGTTCTCTACCACTTACAGATCTTGTAGGCATACAGTTTCGAAGGTCACAGAAACTACCTCAATTGCTCCGAACAATTTCTGAGTTCATCTCCATGACAAAATTCTGCAAGACAGTCAAGCAAGCACCTTGGAAGAGCTAGGTCGTGTAATGCCAGTTACAGACTTTTGGCAGTCTACCTGATTTTGTTCGCTCCACTTGATGCAAGGGCCCGGTGCCTAGGCCTTCAACTGGCTACATATTCTTGTACCCAGCAGAACTGGCATCCAACACAAGCCAGCTCATAATGACAGAGCTGACCTCCTCTTTGGCTATCACATTTCACATGCTTGCCAATGAATCCTGCTACCCCGCGCTTAGCGCAGGAATCTCCAGAGCAAGCATCTTCTACAAACTGAAAAGCACAGTAAAAAGGCTGAGAAGATCCAGGGTTGACAGCCTCAACGCCCAAGTTCAGGGATCTTACGTGGCTTAGGAGTCATCTTCTGATTTATGCAGCCAAGCGTTAAAGCTTCATCTGAAGCGCTAAAGCTTCATCTGAAGCGCTATGGGCTCAGGCTTTAAAGTCTAGAAGCTTTTCAGGCCTGAAAAGCGTCCAATCCTCGACCCTGAAATCGAATACTCCAAAGCCTTCTGTTCAGACGCCCTCTAAGAAATCATGCAGGCTCCCCACATTGTTATCATAAAGGCGGTGCACAAATCTGAGCCGGTAACCTGTGACATGAAGCCCTACACTCCAAAACCGTCTAGGTGAATAGTACGGATAATGCTGCTATGTAAAGATGGAGTTTTGAGCCTTCTGAATTTTGAATCTAGATTTGCCATTACTCGCCCAGTCGACCTGAAATACGTCATCGGCAGCTTTCGTCGTTTCTTTGCCCAGGTGCGAAACTTGCGAGTTCCTATGGACTTCCCTAAACCATCCCTGTATGAGAAGCTGTGGCAGCTTCACCCGTCACTGGGGTTTAGGACATGCGAGACATGTAAAGGATGTGTGGGGCTTGGGGGCAGTTTACATTCAGCAGGTTCAAGTTCAGCATTCAGGGCTCCTGGCAGCTGTACGGATGCACTGTTGAGCATGGTACTTTTGTATCGTCGTATTACGTCTCATGGCGCGAAGAGACTCGTGCTTCTCACGTGTCGTAACCTGAGCCGGTATGTTTGAGGAGCCAGGTCAGGCACTCTTTGCCAAGGTAGGCACATAAGCTGGTTCGGGATCACGCGCTGTGCCTTTGTGCAAAGGCAGAGACCAAGGTCTTGTCTTGTCCTCATTAACCTGCAAGTAGGGAAGGATGAGGTATTTTGGACTTCGGATTTCACGAGACGAGGGCTTGGATTCCTTTTCAGGGGAAGAAGTGCGGACCTTTAGGCACCCCCCCCTATTTCAGTCCAGTGTGAGTGTCTGAACCACTGCCCTCATGAACCACGAACTGTCTGAGTCTAGGCCTCTTCAGGGTAAAGATCGTCGTCTGTAGCTGTAGCTGGCACACAGCGCATCTTGCAAAGGCAAGTTTTTTGTTTTCGACAGAGGCAACTGCTGCGTGTAGGGGCTGCTGATAATGAAGCCCATACCGTACTAAGCTGAAACGGCGGTGGGTGCAGTACCTAGGTTTGTTGAAGCTTCGTAGTCCCCCGAAGATGACATCCATATACACGTGTATATACATATATA